TTTCCTTTCCTTTCCTAAAATTTCCTTTCCTTTCCTTTCCTAAAATTTCCTTTCCTTTCCTAAAATTTCCTTTCCTTTCCTTTCCTAAAATTTCCTTTCCTTTCCTTTCCTAAAATTTCCTTTCCTTTCCTAAAATTTCCTTTCCTAAAATTTCCTTTCCTAAAATTTCCTTTCCTTTCCTAAAATTTCCTTTCCTTTCCTAAAATTTCCTTTCCTTTCCTTTCCTTTCCTAAAATTTCCTTTCCTTTCCTTTCTCTTCTTTTCTCTTCTTTTCTCTTCTTTTCTCTCTTTTCTTTTCTTTTTCCTATATTATACTATATTATCTTTATGTGAGGATGGTTGAACACTGGCCACATGTTGCCAGACAGGTTGTGGAGACTTCAGCCTTAGGATATCCAAAAACCCAACTGGGCACAGTGAACAACCTGCTCTAGCTGGTCCCACTTGGAGCAGGAGGATGGGATGGATGATCTCCAGGGGCATCTCCAGCCTCAGCATTGAGTGATTCCACCATGTTACACAGGCTGTGAGAGCTTCCCCAGCCTCCTCAGGGAATATTCCTGCAAAGATGGGGTGTTTTGGGGTGGCCTGGCCTTTCATGGGCACTCCCCGTAGACCTTGATCATCTCATACTGTTACAGACTCTCTGGCAGGTTCCTGGCCTCTGCAAAAGGCTTTATTATTAGCTTCTATGGTTTTCGAAATATTACTTCTTATAACATTTTTGGGCCTTCCTGTGACTGGATTTTGTGCTCTTTTCTGTTTTTCTCATTTGGACAAAACTTCCACTTTCAGAAGAATGTAATTTTCTCCTAATAATCTCCATTACTCTGCTATTTAACCATGAGAGCTCCTTTCTGGCCCCATTTATAGGTGATATATATTTATTCTTAGCCTCTAAGATGGTTCCTTGACTTCCTTGCCACCTCCAAGCAGTTCATCTTTCTGGAGGCTGTTTTTAATTTAGGGTTATCAAGTTCCTTGTCCTTTCTTTGGGTGGGATAAATCACCACAGTGAACACAGCCAGTTTGGGTTACACACCTGACTAAAACAAGGGGAGTTTAGCCCACAAATCCCATCCCTAATGTAACAAAAAGCTGTTTTCTTGCCTGGAAACTACTGTATAGGACTCTGGGGGGGAAAAACTGAGGCTTGTCTTTATCCATTTCACCATCTCCCCACGATGCTGCTTATTTTCTGAGAGATACATCTAATTAGTTGCATGAATAAATAAATCCTTTATGTTAAAGGTCTTTGTGGAACCACCTGCTTGACTTCTTTGCTGTTGAGGGTCCTCACTGTTATTCTGTTAAAAATGAACAAATGTTTTCATTCGAGCTCAGTGGATGTGGGGAATGAACAGCTCTGCTTTGTCAGCTGGTATTGCTGTAACGACGAGAGTCTGAGCACTGAGAGCCCAACCAGCCCAGCTGTGACTTGCTGCACTGCTGGTGGTTTATACTGATTATTTTGAATTTAGAAGTGTACTTGATGTAAGTGGATATTTGGGGAACTGCTCACAGGCACTCCTGGGATGAGTACCCGATTCCAGAGCAGCCTTGGCTGTTCATGGGTGGGATGGATTTAGTGCTGCTCAGGAAATCAAGGGTGTAAATGAGGGAATGATAAAGCCTCCCCTTTCTCCCTGCCAGAACATCCACCTGGTGGCCAAGTGGCTGAGTTCCCTGGAGAAGAAGCTGGAGCAGCACAGCGAGAGCAGCCACCAGGACTTCCGTGTCTTCATCAGCGCAGAGCCAGCACCTTCCCCCGAGAGCCACATCATTCCCCAGGGCATCCTGGAGAACTCCATCAAAATCACCAACGAGGCCCCCACTGGGATGCAGGCAAACCTGCACGGAGCCCTCGACAACTTCAGCCAGGTAGGAGCTCAGAGACACCAGTGACAGGTTGGCTTGGAGCTGCTGGAGCTGCTGGAGCTGCTGGAGCTGCTGGAGCCCCCATGGAGCGTGCTGGGGGAAGGCACTGCCTTTCCAGGCAGCAGCTGAGTGAGTCCCTTTGCATCCCATCATGTATCCCAGAGTCACAGAATGTGCTGAATTGGAGGGACCCACAAAGATCATCCAGTCCAACCCTCAGCCCTGCACAGGCCCATCCCCAAGAGTCACCCCCTGTGCCCCAGAGGATCAGCCAAACCCTCCTGGAGCTCTGGCAGCCTTGGGGCTGTGCCCACTGCCCTGGGGAGCCTGGGCAGTGCCCAACCAGCCTCTGGGGGAAGAACCTTTGCCTGAGATCCAACCTGAGCCTGCCCTGACACAGCTCCAGCCATTCCCTGGCTGCTGTCCCTGCTCCCCCCAGAGCAGAGCTCAGTCCCTGCCCCTCCTCTGCCCCTGCCCAGGAAGGTGGAACTGCAGTGAGGTCTCCCCTCAGTCTCCTCTTCTCCAGCTGAACACACCAAGTGCCCTCAGTGTCCTCCCACGGCTTCAAATCAAGCCCCTTCCCCATCCTCCTTCCCTCCTTTGGACACTCTCTAATGGCTCAATCTCTTCCTTCCATTGTGTCCCCCCAAACAGCCCCAATGTTGAGGTGAGGCCACCCCAGGGCAGAGCAGAGCGGGACAATCCCCATCCCGGTGATGCTGGGCCTGCTGATGGAACTGCAGCTGAGTCTCCTGTGCAGAGGACACAACACTGAAGTGTGTGGAAATGCTGGAAAATATTCTTGGTGCCCCAGAGGGTTAGATCAGTGTCAGAGCTGCTGGTATGTGGTGATTAAATGAGCTCTGCTCTGTGGCCTCTCTCGACAGCTTTGGCACCACAGGCAGGAGGCTCTGGGAGCAGCGGGACTCGGATCAAACAGGGCTCCCCAGGGAACAGCTGGTGGCCAGGGCAGGCTGGAGCCAGTGTGTGTCCCTGCTGGAGCCATCCATGCTCCTGCTGACCTCATTTACCACTTACACAAAGGCTGAGAGCTGAGCATTCACACTGCTGCTGATTCCTGTCCTGGAGACACAGACACAGCCTCCTGCTGCCCTGAACACTCATTGCCCTCACTCACACACTGCCCTTGCCTTGGCACATGCAGCTCTTACAGCACAACCCCGTCTGGTGAACCTCGAGCAACCAGGAGGGTCTGAAGGTGCTTTCAACCCTTGAAGTGCCTCTTTGAAACAGTGATGCTGAAGTTCTTACAGCCTCTCCACTCTGCTGATGGCTGTGCCAGGAACACACAGGGCAGGTCTGGCAGGGTGGTTTTCTCTTGTGACAAATCTCTCTGCTCTTCTGTAACCCCACCTGCAGTGCTGAGTCCAACACAGCTGGAATGAGTCCAGAGGAGGCACTAAATTTATCACAGGGCTGGAGCACCTCTGCTAAGGAGACAGGTTGAAAGAGTTGGAGGTGTTCGGCCTGGAGAAGAGAAGGTTCCAGGGAGACCTTAGAGCCCCTTCCAGTGCCTGAAGGGGCTCCAAGAGAGATGGAGAGGGACTTGGGACAAGGGCCTGGAGGGACAGGACAAGGGAGAATGGTTTTAAATTGAAGGAGGATGGATCTACATTGGCTATTGAGAAAAAATTCTTCCCTGGGAGGGTGGGGAGGCCCTGGCACAGGGTGCCCAGAGAAGCTGTGGCTGCCCCATCCCTGGAAGTGTCCAAGGCCAGGTTGGACAGGGCTTGGAGCAACCTGGGCTAGTGGAAGGTGTCCCTGCCCATGGCAGGGGGTTGGAATAAGATGATCTGTAAGGTCCCTTCTGGCTCAAACCATTCTTTGATCCTAATGATTCTCTCCATGCAGCCTCTTGTCTTTTGGGACCAGGCAAGAACACCCCAGTCTATTGTGGACCCCAGGCCCTGGTCCATGGGCAGGGAAATGGGGGCAGCTCCCAGCTGATTTTGCACTTAGACCTTGGAGTGGAGGGAATCTCAAGAGCAGGAGATAACTGTGCTGAGCAGGGGATGGGGAGGCACCATGCCAGGATTAATGTCCATAGTCAGGAGAGATTATTCCATTTTTGTCTACTGTCATTCATCATCTTGAATTCCACAAAATGTCCCAGAGAACAAGGAAGGGGAGAACCTTCACCCCAAGTAACATTTTCATCCTGTCTCTGCTCATTTCAATCAGATAGTAATTAGCATTTTCTAAATTGCTGGAGTATTATAAAACATCTCTTATCAGAAATCCTGGAGCAAGTGGGTGGGGTCACTTTTACACCTCATTTCCCCGCTTTATACAAATGGATGTTCAAATTTAGCTTTCAGCTGAAAGCTACAAAGGAGCCTCTTTATTCTGTGTGAGGGATATTGTTCTGCTTTGTAGCTGAAGAAAAATACACAACTAAAGAGGGGCCGAATGAGACTGAACTGGATTCTCAGTGTTCATTCAGGCAGATGCCCCTTCGTGTCTGGGGATGGTTCCTAAAATGAGGAAGTGCTCTGCACATATTGGAAGCAGTTCCCGTGTTCATTTTCAGTGATTAAATGACTCAGGCTCCTGCCCCTCCACCTCCTGGGCAAGGTGCCACAGTCCCAGTCCCAGTGCTGGCCCCCTTGCCCAGTGTGATGACACAGAGCTCTTCAAGTGAGTCCAGATGAGGCCACCAAGATGCTCCAAGGGCTGGAACAGCTCTGCTGTGAGGAAAGGTTGAGAGAATTGGGATTGCTCAGCCTGGAGAAGAGAAGGCTCCAGGGTGACTTAATTGTGGCCATCTGGTACCTGAAGGGTCTCCAAGAGAGCTGGAGGGGGGTTTTTTGTAAGGGCATGCAGTGATAGAACAAGGGGGATGGCTCCAAACTGCCAGGGGCAGGGTTAGATGGGATATTGGGAAGAAATTCTTCCCTGTGAGGGTGGTGAGGCCAGTGTCTAAGGCCAGGTTGGATGGGGCTTGGAGCAGCCTGGTCTAGTGGAAGGTGTCCCTGCCCATGGCAGGGGGGTGGAGTGAGATGAGCTTTAAAGGTCCTTTCCAACCCAAACCACTCTGGGATTCTGGGATTGTCTCTCCATCTCTCTGGTGAGGGATGTTGAGCACATGCAGGTGATGGGACATTGAGTGGGTGCACGTGTCTTTCCCTTTTCCACTGTTAATATGTGTTCCTGTACAAAGCCACTCCAAGCTGGAAATAGTAAATATCAATTCCAAAAGTATTCATTAGAATTTGCCAATAAATTTGCAATGCAAATCCACTGACTTCAAAAATTAACACGTGTGTATTATGCAAATATGAACTGGAGGACAAATTGATTGGCCTCTTCTTCCAGGTAGGAAGCCATAGGACCGGGGAAATGGCAACAAGATGCACCAGGGGAGGTCCAGGTTGGATACTGGGAAAAATGTCTTCACTGGAAGCGTGGTTAAACATTGGAACAAGCTGGGCAGGGAGGTGGTGGAGTCACCATCCCTGGGAATGTTCAAGTAGTGGCACTTCATGATGTGGTTTAGTGGGCATGGGGGTGTTGGTCAAAGATTGGACTTGATCTCGGAGTTCTTTTCCAATCTTAATAATTCTGTGATTCACCCCTGTCCAAAGCTGGGTGTATTTGGAGGCCCTGAGGCTGAGAGCAGTGGCTCTGCCTGTATTGCAGGACACCCTGGAGATGTGCAGCCACGAGAAGGAGTTCAAGAGCATCCTGTTTGCCCTGTGCTATTTCCACGCCGTGGTGGCAGAGCGGCGCAGGTTCGGCCCCCAGGGCTGGAACCGCCCGTACCCCTTCAGCAGCGGGGACCTGACCATCTCTGTGACTGTGCTGCACAACTACCTGCAGGCCAGCTCCAAGGTGGGTGCTTCACTGGGGGCTTGTGCTGGAGCTCCTGGGAAATCTCCTGAGATACCATTTGCTTGGGATCTCTGGGTTTGCTGTGCCTTTGTGGGGAGATGAGAGGCCTCGGTGCCACTCGTGCCTGTAGAAGCTTAGAAATCACAGCAAACAGTGCCTGTGGTCTTTATTCATTGAAAAGAGCAGTGATCTTTGGTTTAACAGAGCTTAGAGTAAATTTGCATTTCAGTGGGGAACTGCAGGAAATCTCTGCTGTGATCCAGTTCTCCTTGGGCAGAGTTTAACTACTACCTGATGTTTGTTCACTGAGAAAACTGAAGCAGTGAGGTGGAAGCACTGAGTGTGCAGGTCAGTGCTGGAACCTGCAGCCCAGCACTGGCCTCTGGAGCTCTGGCCCTGTGACCTCCTTCATGTTTCCTAAATTGAGAGTCTATCTGTCCTTCCTGCCCTCCCTGTTCATCCTCAGGTGCCCTATGATGACCTGCGCTACCTTGTGGGTGAGATCATGTATGGGGGTCACATCACAGATGACTGGGACAGGAGGCTTTGCAAAACCTATTTGGAAGAATTTATTAAGCCAGAAATACTGGAGGGAGAACTTCTCCTTGCTCCAGGATTCCCCCTCCCAGGGAACATGGACTACAATGGCTATCACCAGGTAAACTCATTGTTTTCTGGCATTATTTACACACCTAAATGTAATGTGTTCCATAACTGCCCTATAATCTGCCTTAGGAGGCAGGAACAGGGCTGCAGTGTTTCTGCACACCTTTGTTATCTCCCATTATGTTCTGTTTCTGTAGATGTCTCAGCATTTCCTTGGATGACCCAGTCTAATGGTAATTTGCCACTTCATCATGGGCTCATTCTGTTCATGCATGAATAGAGCAACTGTATTGGTGCTTGAGACTTGAGCAGGGCTCCTGGAAAATTACATCCACATACTGTTTGCTAAAATGGCCCCTTCAAGCTCCTTTTATCATCAGTTTTGATGAGAATCACTGATGGCTTTTGTTGATCTACTTACTGATCTCATCTGTTCTTTGTACACAAATGCAGGAGCAGAGAGAGCCGTATTGGGCTGGTTTTGTTCATAAAACTTAACTACTGGAAGCTAAATTTCCATGAGAGATCTCAGGATGCTGATGCTGAAATGCACAGCAGATAATTGCTAGAGAAGGTCCAGCCTGAGATATAGAGCCAAGCCAAACTTCAGCAATTACTGAATTTTGCCAGCAGGAGTAGAAGCAGTTCTGTAAACAAACATACTCTCCTTCCTCCATCAGTTCACTGGTGTTTCAGCCCCAAGCAGAGCTGCCCAGCCTGGGCTGACCTGGGGGGGATGATTCCAGTGCTGTGAGCTCTGCAGGCAAAGTGCCCTGGGCTCTGTATCCAACCTGAACCTGAATGTCTCTGAATCTCACATGAACCTGAATATGTCTGTATTTAACCTGGATCCGAGTATTTCTGTATCTTATCTGAACTTGGATGGCTCTGTATCTAACCTGGACCTGACTGTCCCTGTGTCTCACCTGCCCCTGACTGGCTCTGTGTCTAACCTGGACCTGACTGTGTCTCTGCAGTACATAGATGAAGCCCTGCCTCCAGAGTCTCCATACCTGTATGGGCTCCATCCCAACGCTGAGCTTGGCTTCCTCACGCAGAGCTCGGAGCAGCTCCTGCACACGCTGCTGGAGCTGCAGCCCCGGGACAGCAGCACTGGAGAAGGAGGAGTGGGGACCAGGGAGGAAACGGTGAGAGGGGCAGAGGATCCCATCCCTGTCCCATCCCTCAGTCCTGCACAGCTCAGGCTGTCTCACAGCTGCTCACTGGACTGTGTTCTGCCTGTGCTGGGTACAAACCCAGCCTAAAGCCTCATTTTATGCAGGACATCACCACAGTGGGGTGTAATTGGAGTATTGGCAGTAATAGGACAGTGGCTTTTAATTACCCCTTGCACTGCGGTGCCTTCATTATCATCCTCTGAAGGTGTTGCAAATAAACCTTGTGCACCTCTGTGTGTCTGGCATAGTGGGCTCCTGAGTGCACAGTCTGCCACCTAAATGTGCCACCCAGAGCTCAGCCCAACTCTTACTGCTGCCACCATGTTCCACCCAGCTCCCAAGCTCCCAGAGATCTTGTAATTCCTTATTTCCAGCTGAACCCCTTTGCTATGCCTATGTACCAGGCTGATCTTCCTCTGGAAACTCAGAGCTCATCAAAACATGGCCCAAGCATTCCTACCAGGATCTGAAATCAGCCAACACATGCTCAGGTTTTTATTTCTGCAGTCTTAAGGCCCCAGCTCTGTGTTCAAGCTTTGCAAATTGATGAGTGGCTAATGGGAAGCTTATATGAAGCCTGTGGTTTCACACATTTTTCTTTTGCCTTGGTGTGGGGCTGGGGAACTGACTGCCTTCAACTGAGGGGCTCTTAGAAGTGCCCAGTATGTTCAATTTTTGGTTCATACTGGAATTTGAGGTGAGGGTAATAATCCAGAGCCA